TTATCTAAACTTTTAATTACCACAATAAGGTTATTTTGTCTTTGGTGAAGCACCATTCTGACAACACAGAACAGTCACCTAGCTTTCTAGTTTGGTGCAATATTTCGTATACTCTTTGAGTTCCTCTGCTGTACATCTTGCCAAGCAATAACGAACTTCGTCTTATACCTTGACTGCAATAGCTACCTTTCTTGTATCAACTGGATGGGCGCATATTCCAGTCGCCCAGGTTGACTATATAGTTTCTGTAAGTTGATACGAGTGTATCAGCAACTAACTACAGCTGCGATATTTCTGTCATCGGTGCACTAAAATCGATTGATCAGATACCGGGGTCAACAAGCTGACTTCGACTGAAGTCGATTTTTCTGTTAAATTTGACATTCCGGCGTGTAGCATTATGTGTATTGGCAAGGAAATCCATTAACGTGGCAATGTCGTAATAATTTGACCAGTCACAGAGCCTCCTCCAGTAGAGAGCAATTCTATATGAACCAAGACATAGGGCCAATAACCGACAATTCAATGTAAGTCTGAAGGTATAGCCGTTTCCTGGATCACTAAGACCTGTGAGATTTATCTAATATTCCAAGGCACACAATTGACGCACAAAGTCGCACACTTTCTTAATTTTCTTCAAAATATAGAAATATAGGGGCCCTGTAAAGTTGTGTTGAAATAGTCAGAAAACTATAGGCCCAGGCAAACTGGCGCTTCTTAGCTAACTGTGAATTTGAATAAATATATAATGTTATGTCAAGGGCAGTGGCTCATCAAACTAATCAATACACAAACTTGCTTCCATGCTTAGAACATTAAGTTTTGTCAAATCTTTACTTTATGTCTCCATCGCTGTTTGTCGAAATTGCATCACCATTTCTTAATGAGATTTTGAATATGGGCCTATCAAACTGTTCCTAATCAGAGGCCTAACCCGATAAATTTATGGATATTATTTTTCATAGGTCTATCTTTCTATCTACTCAAAAAAGAAATGACTTGACTTGCACGAAACAATCGTGGAATAAAAAGAATCAACAGTCAAAAACAATAAAACTGTATATATTAGAAGTGAATAAAATCAAAGACACAGAATCTAAAAAGTCGGCAATGACAGTGACACGAATGTGACCACCTAAGAATGTGACCGACTTGACGTGTGGACGATTTGACCAATTTTGTTAACGATCTAAGCGACCCACTTTTTGTGACCTTGACATTAACAACAAAATGTCGGAAAATAAAAATAACGAAGCAGAAAGTCTAAAGAAAGAAATTGCGTATTTATCAGGTAATTTGTGATCAGACGTGGATAAAATGTTTAAATCTGATAATGTTAGATAAAAGGATTGCTAACAAGTTTATCATGGAGTTTATTATGTGGTTCAACTTCATGTACGAGTACGAGTCAGACACGTCAAGTGTTTACTTTTGATTTCCGATGCTCGGTCTATAGTCAGGCATATGAGAAGGGCTTTTACTCTATGAGTAGGCCTACGATTATGCTTGAATGATGAATTCAGATATTATTTACTAAGCAGATAATTTACTCCACTAGCCTAATTGGCCATCCCTTAATTCTTTTAAGTTTTTAAATGTAGGTTGTGTAGAAATTTGTCTATTTTCCCTTATCTCTCTTTTCAGGGCTGATTAACAGTGCCAAAACAAAATCAAATTTACAGGAATATCAGCAATATGATCACAAATTTTCCAGAGCCAGCACCAGTATTAATTATCGTGATATGTCATCTTGGTCACAATATCGTCAAAACAAAACATTTCAACGGCTAAATAATTTTGTGCCTTTTCCTACTTCTTCCAAATATATTGCCTCATCTGTCCAATCAAAAGCAACTCCACATGAAATGGTCCAAAATTGTCAAAGAAATCTATCATCCATAGGTAAATTGAGTAAGTCTGTTTCTTGTCCAGTGATGGCGAAAAGCAAATCATTTAAATTAAAGCATTCCACTGTGTGTTTTCAAGATACTAAGTTTCAAAATGTTCAAGAAAAAGTTCTTCCACAATCTACATATGGTGCTAGTGTTTGTAGCTCAAATTTTTCAATGAATTCTTATCTAAAGAAAAATTCAGGGTCAGAAGAAGTGAAACATGGGAAAATGCATGTCAATCCTAAATTTTTGAAGAATATATCAAGTACCTCTACACCAAAAGTGCCATTAGTGAATTTATCAGGAAAATCAACCGTGCCGAAAAGCAGCAATTCTGTGACGACTAAATCAGCTGTCGTGCCAAAGACATCGAAACAATCTTCCCATTCTTCAGGACAAGATCCTAAGAAAATTGAATCTCAGATCCAAGCCCTAAGAAAAACTATTGGATACGAAGTTCCACCATTAACAAACTCTTACGCAAGTACTAATAAGTTGCACCAGAAATTTTCTGTTAATGATTCTGTTCTTCCATCAGATCATCCAGACATTCAAAGACAGATATTGAATCTCAGGAAAACTTTAGGTTATGAAATTCCGTTCATACCGCCAAAAGATAATACTGAAGAGCAAATTCGACAGTTACGTGTCAGGATGGGATATGACTTTCCAAATGATGACAACAATAAAAGGGAGAGAAATCTTGTATCAAAATCTCAAAGTGATCCTTATCATTATTCACCCAAATCAATAAAATCAGGTTCACCTTATAAAATGGACAAAACTCGACAGTCCAAGCATGGCAGTGCCAAAATAAAACTTTCATTTACTTGTGATCCGTGTCAAAATCTTGATTCCCGATCAAAAACAAGCAAGTATGTAATTAATAGAAAGAAAACTCCTAAAAAACTTAGCCCAAAAATTATTAAAAGTAGATTCAAGTTTATTGTCAAATCTCAAGCCAATGATACTCACTCAAAAATAACTGGATCTTCTACAACTCAAAAAGCAGCAAAGACTATTATTAGTAAATACAAGATCAGGAAAGTCACTGACACCAACAAATCAAAGTTTCCACCCAACCATTCAGTCACCAGTTTTAACTCGAAACCTCCAGTGAAGAATTCATGGACAGTTAAAGACAAGAACCTACCCAAATTTTCTCCAGCTTATAAATGGTTTTCAAAGACAAAAAATAATTCAAAGGGAAGTGGTAAGTATTAAAAATTTTGAAAAAAAAAAAGTTCTCTTGTGAGTCCCCTAGCAATTTTGTTGCTGAAGCATCAACCTAGATTTCATACAAATATATTGAATATTTTGGAGAGTGCACTGGGTTTTACTCATTTTTGTTTCAGTATATTCATGGAGAAGATTGTCACATTCTAGTTTCATTAGTCAGAGAAGATTATCTACTTCTTTCAATACGAGAAAATATCATCATAAAAATATATTGAAACCACATCAAAGGTAAATGTACTTTATTTTTTAACATTGCATTAAGATTTTTCAAATGTGGATGGCAAGATAAGGCACATAATGTAATGTGATATCTGAATCAGATTGGTGTAGATATGGGATAAAAATTAATATTTTATCTTAAAAGTTTCAATATTTATTGATTTATAACTTTAAAAAGGCAATATGGAAAATATTGCTCGAAGATTTTTTATAAATGAAACAAAACTATTTTTTGTCGAGATTCATTCTTTATATTTTATGGTCTGTGTGTGATGGTTTAGCATTGTATGCTCGCGTAATTTATTGTTAGATTTTTCAGATTCACCTGATGGCCTATAGGGATGTACACTTCATTTGCAATAATACAGTATTTGGTTGTTCTCCTGCACATTATCCTCTTATAACATGCCCTGTGACCAAAAAGCTTGATCCAAGTATTATATTTTGATATTTTCCAGTTACAAAACAGACTGTAGGTTAAGAAGTAACAGTCAATTAGTATTTATTAATGGTTTTCTATATAAAACAACTGGTAATTCATTGTTAAAAACTGGTAGTAAGAAAGTAGACAACAGAAAAAATAGACCTTCAATATCCTCTTGGAACAGAAAGAAACCTATCATCATTAAAAGTAAGATTAGTTTACTGCTACCTATATAGTCAAAGATTCTTAATTAGCCCATGTTATTCATTCCTGTGGTGCTTTTAAATGGCCCTCACACCATGCATCACCAGTTGCGTAGTGTTCATAATTTTTCGAAAGCAAATCTCTCATGCTACTGAGTTATGAATTGTGTTTGGAACTCATGGATTTGCATTCATTGCATCCCATTGCTACTGGTGTTTGTTATGGTGTGAAGGCACCCTTAGTCATAAATTAATTAATGTACATCAATGACAGTGTTTCTATGTTACAAGCTGAAAATTTTCTTTCAATTCGTCCAAGTTTGGATTAAGGTATTCGTTTGGCTCTAGTCTGCTAATAGACTACAATAGAATAGAAACTTTAAACTTGATATAAGTCCATTTTTTATAGAAGTAAATGGTAAAGAAACAAAGACTGTTCAAGTTAGAGGAGTTACATTTGAAATGGCTTCCAATGGTCACAGTTTAAAGAGAATTGATACAAGTGAGTTTGAAACCTATTCTGATAGATATAACTGTGATTGAAATCTGACTCTATACCAATACTTGAAAGAACAAGCAATGGATTATTTCCATTAAGATAGCTTTATAAAATGTACAATTGAAACTAAGTAATGTTAAATTATTAATATTTCTTGACTATGGTCCTTTAAAGGTACTGGGGAAAGAAAATCACCAGAGAAGAAAAATACAGTGACTAGAATAGATCTACATGGTATAACTTATATACAAACTAAACCTGGTACATTAGTTAAAATGGACACATTAAGAACTAGAGCTGTTACCAGGTGAGCAACCTCATATTATAATTGTGAGCATTGATTTACAACCCAAATTTCATAAGGCGATTAAAACTAGTTGGCACAACAGAATGTTTATAACAATTGTGATACTAATACACAGTGAACTAAATCAAAAAAGAAAATCTTAACCTAAGAGACTGAATCATATACAAATAGTTTAAGAAAGTGGATTAAGTGCTATATTAACTCTCATTTCCTTTTCAGTCGAGCAATAAATAAAAGTATAAACACCATAATAACTAATAAACAACGTAAGAAGGTTAATAAACAGTACTGTATTTACTATAACCGTTTTGGGAAATGTAATCGTGGTACCTTATGCCAATATTTGCATGATCCTGACAAAATAGCAGTATGTACTAGGTAAGGGTAATTTATTAAATATATATTGCAGGTATTTTTCTTTATTTTGTTCTGGTGTCCTTTGAAAATTGAAACTAATATAATGTTGCACTGGCACTTCCATGATGCATCTCAGAGACAATTAAAAGCCTTTTAATGGAATTCAACCTCTTGGAATAAGCATAAAATTCAAATTCTAAATCCATATTTTAATTTAGTGAGCTCATTTATTTGTTAGAAGCGCCAAATGTGATAAGGTCATGTCTATCCTTTGTCAGCTGCCTGAAAAAAGTTTTTTTTACATTATATACTGTAGTTATATGTTTTACCGATATTTTATTTAGTAGAAAAAGAAGAATGTAAATATTTTACCTAGCATACCTCTTTATTTTTTAGATTTTTACGAGGAACATGTAAAGTTAAGGATTGTTTATTTTCACATCAAGTATCAGAAGACAAGATGCCCGTCTGTTCTTACTTTCTAAAAGGAAGATGTGATAAAGATGATTGTCCCTATTTACATGTGAAAGTCAGTCAAAATGCAGCAATTTGTTTAGCTTTTATTAATGGATACTGTCCTAATGGTAAAGAGGTGTGTAAGAAATTTTAATAGATACTAAAATAGAAATATTAAAACAGAACCTGAAACATGTTACTCAGAGTTTTTCATTCTTGTGATCTTCAGACAACTGACCTATTACAGCCTGTGTCCCTTCTGAAGTTTGACGAGTTGTATTTTTTTTTGTCCACTTCGAAAATTAGATGAAGAGATATTCCATTCAAGAATTAAACAGAACAATACTTAGTCTAAGCCTCTTCTGTTCTCACGCACCTGTAATTAGATTTTATTTTTACTCCATCATAATTCACCTGTTTTATTTCACCTACAGTGCAAGAAACTTCATACAAGAATATGTCCAGAATTTTCTCAAACTGGTAAATGCAAGTCTGGTAGAAGTTGTCAATTGGAACATAAAAGAAAGAAAATGATAAGAAGAAAGAGATCTAGTTCAAGGTAAAAAAGACATTTCCTGTTATTTCATGAGGTCTTGTAGTAATTCATTATAATGAAAACAGTTCAAGCAAAGACTAAAATTGTCAAATATAAGGTCATTTTGTTATAAGTCCTTCAAATTAAACCTGTAAACTCTCCAAAATTGATAACATTTATTTCTCTTTCAGCAAAAAAACAAGTTCTATCACAAACAAAGAAGATAATCTAACTGTTGAAGATGACATAACAAATACTAGCAAATTACCATCTTATATATCATTAGTAGAATACAGTTCACCATATTTACCGACAAATACTAATCAACGTTATACTCAAATACCAATAGATCAGGGTACATTCTTTTCTCTTATTAAATCATTATGGTACTAAATTACATGGCATTAAAATGTTTAAAATGTGAATAGGGTAGTCATTTAAAAGTAAACTATGCGCTCATGGCAATATTAGTTCAATACTTCAGAGTAAAACTAATGGCAATATTAGTTCAATACTAGTAAACCTAATGGCAATATTAGTTCAATACGAGTAAACCTAATGGCAATATTAATTCAATACTAGTAAACCTAATGGCAATATTAGTTCAATACTAGTAAAACTAATGGCAATATTAGTTCAATACTAGTAAACCTAATGGCAATATTAGTTCAATACGAGTAAACCTAATGGCAATATTAATTCAATACTTCAGAGTAAACCTAATGGCAATATTAGTTCAATACGAGTAAACCTAATGGCAATATTAATTGAATACTTCAGAGTAAAACTAATGGCAATATCAGTTCAATATGAGTAAAACTAATGGCAATATTAATTCAATACTTCAGAGTAAAACTAATGGCAATATTCGTTCAATACGAGTAAAACTAATGGTAATATTAGTTTAATACTTCAGAGTAAAACTAATGTCAATATTAGTTCAATATTTCAGAGTAAAACTAATGGCAATATTCGTTCAATACTTCGGAATAATAATCGTGGAAATATTCGTTCAATATTTCAGAGTTAAACTAGGCAATATTTAAACTAATGGCAATATTAGTTCAATACTTCAGAGTAAAACTAATGGCAATATTAGTTCAATACTTATTTGCAAGTAAAATTTATGGCAATATTAGTCCAATTCAGAGTAAAACTAATGCCAATATTAGTTCAATATTTGAAATTCAATTTTTACAATATTGGGTTCAATATTTTAAAATAAAATTCATAGCAACATATAGTCCTTTATTTCAAAGAATACACCGAAATTAACAATTTAAAGTGAAAGATGAAACCACATAAATATATGGAAATAATATGTCTCACCTTTTGATAATTTGAATAATAAACAATTCAACTTTTCCACATTAATTGTGATAATATGTTATGAGTTGTTGGAATTGTGATTTCCTGGTGGCTATCTTTGTTAATATGTAAGTGTGGAAGGTGTATGAAAAGTATTAGATGATGTATTATAATAGGCTTACCTTGGAGGACAGCTCATTAACCTGAAATGAGAAATGAATAAGATTGTAAAGGAGGTATATTGGGGTCTAAATATTTGCTTTCCATTAAATAGAGAATCAGAAAATTTTTGTCTGTTATTGTGTGGATATTTATTTCAGATGAATCGTTACATATAAAACCAAGATTATAACTGACAAGTAAGGAATCAAGAATTTTTTTTAATTCAAAAAACGAATTTTAATGTATTCTGCATTGCACCTAAAGAGGCTAGAGTTATTAATTCAAATATTATGTGGATATGGGATATTTTTTTTCAAAATGAACTATTTAGAAACTGTTATAATTGGACTTGAGTTTTATTCATAAAAATTGTATTTTTAATGTAACTTTAGTGTCTTTCAGATAGCTAGCAAGTAGCCATCCAGCCAGTAAGTAATTTAATTTCCTCTCTTGCTTCCAAGCTTGATTTATATCATGGCTGGAAAATGAGAAATGGAATCATAGACTTTACCAAATAATGGTTTCCTTATTATTTTATCCTACTGTAAACAGCTGGGTTAAATCACCAATTATTTACAATAGTCAATTATTTCCTGTTATTTTATGAATTTCAATTTTATTTTTTATATAACTTATTTTAATAAAGATATTGTTGAAATAAAGATATTTTTGAATAAAGATATTGTTGAAATAAAGATATTATTAAATGGAGATATTATGAAAATAAAGATATTATTAAAATAAAGATATTGAAATAAAGATATGAAAATAAAGATATTATTTAAATAAAGATATTATTGAAAAAAATAATTTAGAGATTAGATGGATATGGACATGTTTGCCCCCTAATGTGTAATATGGAGCAAAATGTACACATCCAGGGACGCTTTGAAAAGTAAATATTGCACCTTGATGTGCACTTATACCTCACTATATCATAATGTACAATGAATTAGGCCCATATAAGTGTTGGGTGTTAAAGCAGACACTCTCATATAGAAGCACTGGCTAAGGTCACAAGAAGAGAACATACTTATTTTGCATCAATTATTAATTTGAGTAAAAAAGATCAAATTGAAATGGTACTATAATAAATGTTCTTCATTGCGTGCAAAGAGAAATTACAACAATGTAAATTCTGAAAAGACTGGAATAATACAATGTTTACAAATAATACAAAAAACATTTTTTAAAAACACATTATGCAATTGTTTCACAGAGTTTATGGAATGGGGTCCAATTTGCCAAGTAAATTAATTTAATTTTTGTTTCTTTTAAAAGCAGTAACCACACGTTTAGTGAAATTATTAGGAAATTAATCTTGAAGTTCTTTTGTAATATGGTTTGACAATCAGTGAAGCATTTTTGGCCGTGGAATTACAGGTTTAATAAGATACACTTCAGGAATCTTAATTAGGTGACAAAAACTTGTTTTAAGCATTGCCTTGCATAAATGAAAGCTTTTCACAAAAAAGATCTTGTTGTTCCATGAAAATTATTATTCCTGTACATTTATTTTGAGTTATTTCCCTTTCCCTTATCTCGCTTTCAAGTGAGTATTTAAGCCTCTAAATATTATATTTTGAAATTTATTTATTTAAGATTGATTTTGGGTACAATATATTTGATATTTTGAATTTGAAGTGAGTTACACACAGACAACAGTGCCAATTCAATACCAGAGAAAAAGGTTAAAAAACAACCGTGCTACGTGCTCTGAAATGAAAACAACATGTTATTATGAATAACATTGTGTTACACACATAATCACGGTGCCTATAAATAACACTGTGTTACACATATAATTACAGTGCCTATAAATAACATTGTGTTGTGTTGTATTGTGTTGCACACAGACAACAGTGCCTATTCTATATTACACCAAAAAAGTGTTCACTTACAACCCTGTTACGTGTGTGCGTGTAACTAACACCGTGTTACACACATAATTTCAGTACATATAAATAACATTGTGTTACATACAAACAACAATGCTTATTATAAAAATTGTGTTTGTACAGACAACAGTCCACAAGGAAATGTGTTCGTAAACAACCCTGTTACGTGATCTAAAGACTGCATGTAAATAACATTATGCTACACTCAATATAACAGTGCCTATACATAATGAAGCGGCCACAATCAATCATGTTACACAGAAAACAACAGTGCTTATAAATAACAATATGTTACACACAAAACAACAGTGCTTATAAATAACAATATTTTACACACAAAACAACAGTGCTTATAAATAACAATATGTTACACACAAAACAACAGTGCTTATAAATAACTATATGTTACACACAAAACAACAGTGCTTATAAATAACTATATGTTACACACAAAACAACAGTGCTTATAAATAACTATATGTTAAACACAAAACAACAGTGCCAAAGTAACTTTATGTTGCACACAAAACAACAATGCTTGTAAATAACAATATGTTACACACAAAACAACAGCGCTAATGAGTAACATTGCTTCAGTGTCGATAAATAATATTGTTACGTGGGCAATGGTGTTAATAACACAAAATAATAAATTTCATACAAAGCATAATGTAGTTATATCAGCGTTTTTGAAGCTAAAAAAATGTTTTCATTTACCTGTCCTGAAAAAACCATGCACTTGTTCTGTCAGATATTCCAAATGGCACATTGTCTCTTTGCCACAATAAAAGTTTAAACACAAAATAAGTTCATAAATTCCAATAACAAGAAATTTAGTCACTTTAAAACACAATTTTTTTAACACATCAAAGTTTTCACACAGATACCCCAATATCAAGCAATTTAGTTCAATCACTTCAAACACATTAGACGTGTATTGCTTTCTATCCTAACGCACGTGCAAATAATACATCATCTAGGTCAAAACATGCATGCGTACAAACGACAGGTTAATCGAGCGCACCATCAAGTTGGTTCTAAATATGTGCAGTTTTGATACAGTGAAATGGAAGAACAGAGAAATGGATGAAAAAAGAAAAGGAAAAAATCATTTGAAGGGAAATGTTTTTTCTGTCTGAATTTAGCATCAGTCAAGGTAATCAAATTAGTGTGGTTCGAACCGATTGCATTCTTGATAACTTTCATTTTCATTTGAGATGGTGGGGGAGGGGGCAAAGAGTTGTACCCTGCTCCCCTGGTTCAGACCCCTTTGGTCACCACAAAATGTCGATGCTATGGTTAGTGGATATCGTCACACAACTCGCATATCAATTATCAATAAAAATAGTGAGGTATAATAATGCCGAAATTTAGTTTCAAAAGCCTGTTTTTTAGGAAATAAATATGCAGAGGACGAACAACTTTCATAACATGGGATGGGAATGTCTATTTACTAATTTATTTATCTCTGTAAACAAGATAATTCGATTGAATATAGTTCAAAGGTTAGATCTTAATATTGATATCAATGATAAGACCACAATAATTAAAATTGTGTAATAATATTTCCGCTCGATCTAGGCCTATAGGTGCTCGTTCCTATTGTGGGTTTGGTGACAATACGAAAATAAAAATTCATACACATATACAGGTACTGTTTGGGAAGAATAGAATATGCCAAGAGTGTTTTTTGAACTGTTTATGTGTATTTGGGACATTGATGGCATCGTTTGCATCATACCAGTACGATGACTAATTGAACGTCTGCGGTTCTTTTTCTTATAATGTCACTAAAACAAAGCGTGCAAATAGATTCCATCGGTGTCCCCCATACAACTAAAAAGTTCAAAAAATCTCTTAACACTCCCTTAAAGCATTCTGAATTAGGAAAGAGTTTCATACGAAACTATCGGGTTGATTTGTTAAAGCATTCCGAATTAGGAAAGAGTTTCATACGAAACTATCGGGTTGATCTGTTACGTTTATTTTGTCGTACGAGTATTATGTGACCGAAACACAATATATTCCGTCTATCGCTCAAAATTTGACTTAAAGATATATTACCTCTTAGGATGTCCAAAAAATTTACATTTTTAAACTTGGTTGAAATTAGTCGGTGTTCATCAGTGTACTAACCTGGTGCCATAACTATACACCAGAATCCCTCTATAATCCAATAAATATATGAAACTAAGTATTTTTGAAGCATTTTTCAATAATTATTCAGTTTAATGGATACATCGTCTTATATAGAGATTATATTCTTTTGTCATGGCACCTGGTAAGTCTAACAGATGAATATAAACACTTGTTGACCAAGTTTGAGACTTTAAATATTATGTCCATTCTAAGAGGTAGTATCCTTTTAACGGCTTAAACAGATGAAAATGTTAAAAATGAACCAACAGTTCGTTGGATGGGTCAGACAAGCGTTGTGGGAATTTTGTATTCTATATCTTATAGAAATGTATTATATCACATGTATCGAAGTGACACATTGCTTTTTTTGTTTCGGAGATAAGCCTATGCTTAACAATTTTAATTAACACTAATGTGCTTATTACATGAGCAAACTGTATATAATATTGAAGTAATATCTCTCTTTAATCGATTCATCAACTCGGCAACTCTTTCATAATAAATCCATTTAGGAATTCATATAAAAGGGCAATACAACTCGTATTATACAGTAAATGTTTGATATTCTCCAACGAAAGCATGGTTCTAAAAGACAATTGGATATTAAAGATATAGTCACCGGAAATATATTTCAATAACAAGGAACTGTAAGTTTCGGTAAGACAATTTTATTTATTAATCACAATATTACCGTGTTTCTGATATTGAAGTAAATGATATCAAAATTTAGAAACCCATTTTCAAATATTTCAAATTATTTTTGGACTTCAGGATATTAGGGTGGTTAAATTATTCAATAGTTTGACTTTTCAAGAATACAATTGCGGACTCTTATTTCGAAAATTAATTATTGGGGTGAAGGTATATATAACGGGACATTTCTTCTGATACGTGTACCAATGAAAAGCCAAGAGTATTGAGTGTTTCATAACAGTTTCTCATTCAATACTTCGATTTTTTTTCCTTCAGAAATACCAGCTTCTATATATATAAGAAGTGTGGGCTCAAACCGTATGTATAACCAGACTATACAGACCGCGTGGTATATTTTATGTCCTACTTCTGAAGCCGGCATCGTGTAATACTGTATATTGAGAGAAGTAACCTTTGGCAGTACTTGAACGTTAGTTTTATGGATTTAAAATAGTCAACTTTCAAGGAGTCGATTGTTGTAAATGGGATATATTTGTGTAAATGGACATAATTCGATATACTTCTGTTCCATATTGCACAACCTACACGCCATACTGATGTGCCATTCCCAGATTTGACAGCCTCGCCTTCAATTTTGACAGACAAGTTACTAAAATTAGCGGAAACCCCAGTTTTTGATTGGTCAATTCTTACATATGATATAAAAATAGATTGAAACGTCAGAGCTGATATAAAAGAGCTCGGAATTCCCTCCTACCACTTGTTGTTGCCTGCTCTCTCTACTGTGAATGTCGTGCGGTGGTTAATGCCCTGAGCCACTAGCGGTTTACAGTAGTCTTGACTATTTTACCTCAAAATATATCAGGAATCTTTTGTTCGTCCAAAAGAATTGTGTCGGATGATAGCTGTGCAAAGTATCTTTGAGAATTGGATATTATATTTTCAGTTGTGAAGTTATTTACAAGCCAGCTGACAGTGAAAGCCGCTGACCCAGATTGAGTGAAAAGAGAGAGAGCAGTGCACACACCAGTCTTAAAATACTAAATTCTGGGTCAGTGTGAACTTTATACCGTTAAAAATCATGGATAATTTAGCACAAGACTATATAAATGACTTCGATTTAGAACATTTGGAGTTCCCAGTTCAAGTGAAACGAGAGGTGGAGGAGGTAAGGAGTTGTGCTGCTTCTAATCTACCCAGTAAACGTCTTCTTTCCAACCTAGTAAGCTCGCCCTCGCAAAGTTTCTCCGACAGTGGTACCTCCAGTCAAGATCTTATGGAGCAGAAATCGCTCCTCGAAGACTTGCATTGGATTCAATGGAATGCCGGTTTGCAATCCAATCCGTCAGAAAATATGGATCTACCGACAGACACCTCTATTCAACAAATAGAGGAATATTTGAAATCGCCACAGCCTGTTAAAAACTCGCCAGCCGCAAAGCACAAGGAGGCCCAAAATGGCGTCGAAAAACAGCCGAATACACCTTCCGAAAGGAAACCCAAGAAGACGACAGAAAATTCAGTTAGAAAATCATCCATAAAGGTTGAAGTGGACAGTGCTAATATGGAGTCCGACGATGAGGAAAAAAGTTTAGGCCTGCTGAGTGACGATGATTTAGTGATGTTGCCAGTGCGTGAATTAAACCGTCGTCTGCAAGGTCTTTCCAAAGAAGAGACCATCCGACTAAAGCAAAAACGACGTACTTTAAAAAATCGTGGATACGCACAGAACTGTCGCTCAAAACGAATGCAGCAAAGGTTTTCCCTGGAACATACGAATTCTTCATTGCATTGTCAAATAAATCAGTTACAGCGACAAGTAAGTTTATTAACGGGAGAAAGAGACATGTACAAACGCCAATACGAATCTCTCAGGGCAAGCACTTCAGGCCGTCACCAAGCTCCAGGGTCTGCAGGCATGAGTGATGGATCCATGTCAAGCTATCCAAGCTCCCCTGACGACAGCGTTTTTGACTTTTAAAAACTAAAATAAGGCAGGACTAAACACGTGTCATGGTTTTTGTTACATTATGAAATATCACTGTTAATCATTTTTTTGTAAAGAAAAATTCATTAATAATCTGTGTTGTTCACTTACCAAACTATATCAAACTCCATCAAATGGATGTGTATAATAATATTATGTGTTCATGTGTATCAAAAAATGTGTTAATTTGTTCGGACAACAGGTCTTTTGTTCATAATTTTGTTAATATTGATATTAATCTGTTTTCCTAATCATTATTGGTCATATAATCAGTTAGTAATTAAGATATAATTGAGCTGTTTAAAGGGTTAATCTGGGATATCAATGATTATGCAATGAGCTTGAGGGTATCACACTTTTTACTGTGTATATCTCACATAAATAATGTTTTAACGGTATTCACAACCTTGTACCTAAAATAATATTTCATAAATCATATGTGTTACTTCACATGACACAGTTTCAAGACACTTCATCATATTAAATTTTACTACTGTATTTTTTTTTATTATTAATATTATTATATGTAGGCCTACACATAATATCTTCTGTTATACATTGTGTTACATAATAGTAACTAGTATACACTATTATAATGGGTATATAAGTCATAACTGTTCATGTTTCATAGTAATTGATAGGGTTTTAAGTAATATCTTTGCCCTTTGACCATGTATTGTATGATTCTTTAAGGCACAAACAGGGTAATACAAAATATGAATAGAATATTAATGATAATAGGTAAATGGTCATATGAACATGCAGTGAGAGCCATATTTTAAAGAGATAATACACAGTTAAAAGTGTGGTTAAAGTTGTTCATCATGTAATGTAATTTCATTCTCAAAGTGCTATTTTTAAAGTGCTGGCAGCCTACATCTCCCCCACCTAGTTAGTTAATTTATCATTACCAAATATTATGGATTTTTACTGTATAAATATCACATACAAGCATCAATTTAATCACCCAAATATCATAAGTGCTTTTTACCCTCAAAAATTTCTCATGCTCCCTGTTCTTTTTCTTTTCTTGTCTATTTCAACTTTATTGAAAAATTTATGTTGTTACTTGTTGTAAAAGAATATTGTTAAAATTTTATTCACATAGTATATATTTTGTTACTGTGACTAATGTACTTATGTTATTCAGTCTTTCTGGCACTATTTGTGATATTCAAGGCTATTCAGACACTCTGTTATCCAGTCTAAAAGGTTATATATTTAACCCTGAGAAGACATTCACTATGTCCTAATTACACTCGAGTTGATGTATGAGTTGTAGGGTATAAATGTATGTGTATATATCTTTATCTAGCTAATGTCTAAACCATTTATGTGTAGAGTTTATAGTTTCCCTGTTTAAAGATGAACAACTTGTATTTCTTGAGTCAATCACATGCCGTTTTACATAAATTTCAAATCATTTTAGCACAAATTACCTCCAAGTATGAACCTAATTTCAAATCTGAAATTAATCTGAAAACTATTTAAATATGCTGCATGTTTGAAAAGTATAAAAGGTACAAAGACAAATTTAATGTTTGAACCACTGGTTTATTTCCTCCAATTGTACTATTCTATTCTAATAAAATATGAAAAATAGGCAAATTTTGACAGCTGTTCAGTACATTTCAAGTTGATCAATATTTATTGATATATTGAGGCAGTCATGAAACAGGACAAAGTACTCTGTCTTAAAGGAAAAAAACTAATTTATACCTAGAAATATCATTTGAATTGAGAATTATGTACATACTAAAAGCTAAAGCTGTGCTATTGCCAATGTGTGAAAGTTAACTTTTGATATAAGATGTATAAATGCTTGAACAGTTGTGTCTGAGAAACAGACTGAAAAATATTGACATATTACTATATATCAATGTGACATTAGCTGGTTAAGGTTAAGATAATTTTAGTGATAAAATATCAAGATTTAAGCAATAAAAATTTCTTGGGGTAAATTATTGAAATTTAAATTCTACAATATTGTCTGCTCACTATCTGAGTCTATATTGTCAATGCTCTCAGTGTAAAACTTATTAATTTGTTCCTATGAACCTATCCTAGTAGGTTATTTTAGTATTCCTCACTATAACCAGTCTTAATTAGGATTGACTAGATCTAAATCTGGACATCATTATAACTAGAGATATATTAATAGATATACAGCTACTTAGTTGTAAATGTTAAGATTATTATATATAGCATAAATATTTTAAAGTGCCATCTTTTTAACACTAGTGCCATCATTTTGTAGATAGTGGATACTATTTGTATATATAATGGAAATTATAACTAACTTGTTGGATAGAAAATCTGAAAAAAAAATATCAAAATTAAATTCTAAGAAAAATAGTTTAAAAATTTAGTATAATGTAAATAGAAGTTATTGTTACAATTTTATCAAATTTCATAATGACATATTTTGTGGGAAATTGCTAAGTACCGGTTTTGGAAAATCGTAAAGGGCAGAGGCTCCATAGAACTGTATTTAAAGCATATCAGATCCCCTCCCCTACTTCACTGTGATATATAGAAACCTGACCGTGTTTAGAAATCCCCAGTCCCATCAGACAAGTTCTGATTTGGATCTTATTTCTGACTCATTTTACCGAATTAGTAAATGACATATATTTTTGTATTGACCTTTATAAGGTCATGAAGGATGGATCTCGGATTTAAACCCCAAACTTGTCAAGTCAAACAATTGAATGGTTTAATTGTTCTTGTTAAATTTGCTTTTTGTAAAGAAAAAACAACACATTAAGACACAGGAGAAAATGTCTTTTGAATTCCAAGAGCTCATATTTATATTTTATTTAAGAACTAAAAAATGGCAACAACAACCTTGCTGAATGTATAGTAAAATGTACTTTCTTCAAATAGCTTATTATATAAATATGAATAATATTTCTTAAAAAATCCCATCTTATTGGGGACCAAAAAAATAGAAAAAATGAAAAAAAAAATTATATTATATTAAAAAAAAAATAACAGCTTGGACGAGCATAAACCTTCTTTATGTCAGCTGGGTTCAAGCTCTCAATTTTGCCAGTCGGTCAACTTTGTTACCTCGGAATTGTAAAGACAGCGAAAAATATGATCTGGAGAGTGCCATGCTGTCTGCAAAAGGACAATCCCGTCCATGAACGACCTTTGTGGTCAAACTCTTTGTGAGTGTCTCTTAAGTAAAGCAGAGAAATAATTTTTCCTTTTTTTCTTCTATATTTGTTTGTTTTGTTTTTGAATGTGAAGCACATTTTATACTTGTTAAATATCTTAAATTTATATGTTGACAATAATACAAATTTTAGTCATATTTTGAGATAGAATATTCTTAGTGTGAGGTGGTCCTAACAATTTTAATGGATAGATGTCAATGTAATGGGTTTAAATTAGTATCAAATTACCTATACAATGCATTGTACAACTTTCAACATTAAAAACAACAAATTCTAGGATTTTTACTAAAAAACACCATATGTTATATCAACATTATTGCATTGTGTTCTTAATTTCTAGTATTTAATACATATGCAAGTTATGTGCAGGAAAATGCCACTTATGAATGTAGAGCAAATACTTAGGTGATTTAAATGGTTGAAAATTGATATCTAATGTACAAAAAATCTGTGATATTTCAAATGCACCAATCGAAAGGAGCCTTATATTATTGTACTTTTTAATTGGCATGGGAAAAAATAAAAAAAGTAATTAATGTATCAGATTTGGTGCATATCAACTAATTTAAACCTAATTATTTGTTTTACATATTTCAGTATATGACTTGCATTTGTATTATTTTCATCAACTGGTACTACTATTCATAATAGGCCAACATACATAAAAAGCCTATGTAAATAATATGTATATACTAACATCTTTGTTGAGGCAATTTATGTTCTGAATGCTGCCAAGATTATTACATTTTGTTGACATATATTATATTGTAAATATTATTAAAAACTGCCAGTTGCTGACCCAAAAGTGCTTTTTAATTATTATCATATTAAGATTTTAAAATGTGTTGTTGAATGTTCAGTGAAGTTTGTTTTGTTAATATAGCAAAAAACTTTATCTTTCTGCTTTACTTATGACTGACCTTGTATCGGACAAACCATTAAAACATAATGAAAACTGCATTAATGTCTTGTTATTTATTTTAATTGTCTACCAAGTGCCAAATGTGGAATTTAATTGGAATAATTTGTTCCAGGAGGAGATTAATTTGACAGCAAAAGACATATGGCTTCATTATACTGCATAATTAAAGTGACAATCTGCACATAGCTATATTAGCTGAGCTTAATGCAATTAAATATGTGGCTAAGAAAATTACTGTAGATTTTTATAGACGCCTTATTTAGAAACCTGTTTACAGTCATGTGCATAGCAAAACATAGCATGAAAAAAATCCAACACAAACTGCTGTCAATGTATATTGACTTGCGTTTATGGAGAAATTTTGCTCAGAGGTAAACATCTTTAACAAGCACAGTCTGTAGCAATTTTTTGCACTTACATCCTTCTTAATTACCATAAACTGTTCATTGCACTGTTATGCTCTGAATGGCTAGAAAGTACCACAAGCTGTTAGGTGTTGTCATGCTGAATACTTGAGCATATACTATATAAACAATCTTTATTGTCACAATTCTTTCTCTTAGGAAACCATCGACTTAAAGAGAAAGATCAACTTCAGCTGTTAGACTTGTTGAATAATTCAAAATAATTTACTGTACTTTCTGGTTTTGATGAGTTAGGAACAGATGGAGCGTATGACATCATCAAGACAGTGTTAATGCCAGAACTCTTAGAAATTATTGGATTTTAGAATAATTAAAGTAGCACCCAAGAAATAAATATCTAGATCATTCTAAGGTTGAGTTGAGCCATGGGTCACCCATACACATGCAACAACCAAAGGCTACACTTAAAGGCAATGTTTTGCTATTTTCAGGGTTTATTTGAGTCTTGAATATATGTAAAAAGTTTTCAGAAGTACTAGAACTGCATGAAAATCACAAAATCCCTTTAAATACATCTCAAAATAGGAATTTAACCTTCTATTTCTATATATGTCTTTTCTATGTATGGTAGAGTCTCAAGAAAAGATATGGCATCTTTTTAACTTTCTAGTGCCGATACATGGATATGAAGGCTCAAATTTCTAAGGTGAACTGTGAACACTATTACTGATTAGCTTAGCTTGTAAATTCTGAAACAACAGTGCAACTGGTCGAATGGATGGCGAATCTGTCCCTTTAAATACAAACACTTTATATAAGGATATCAAATTTCAACTAATTATTTAAAAAAATACAAATTAAATCGGTGTCAAAGCACAGGTAAGTGTACATTATATAAAATAAGTGAAATATGTAATCTAGACCTATTACATATTTAAGTAGATTTAAAGGGACATTTCACTTTTTCGTAAAAAACTATACACCAAAATCATGAATAATGTGCCCTTTAACTAATCAGAAAGTTTTAAGTTTTTACTAAAAAAATCCAGCTGTTAATTTTTAAACACCTAAACATTACGTAAGGTTTATAAGTTTGTCATGCTTTTTGGAAGCTGTTTGATAACTACTGTACGGATTTGAGTAAAATAAACACATAATTGTAGGGTAATATGTCTCTTATGTATTCCCAAGGTTTCAACTAAAAATATCCAGCCATTAAAAAGCCAAACACAAAACTAGGTCAAACTGCATAATTAACAATTAGTACCCTCTAGTTTTAATTAACCCTTTTAAAATTAATTCAGTTTGATCAAGTAGATATATAGATATAAATAGCATACTTGAGATATATTTTCAGGTATAATTTACATGTTGTTTGATAATGAAAGCTTAATATCAAGAAAACAGAATACCCCTTTAATGAAAATATATACAGCTGAAATTGATCAAATCTCACTTAAAACTCTTTAAAACCATTTTAATCTTCATAAATTGTGTAGTATTTGTATGTTCACCACAGCAGCAAGGTCCTTGCATGAATAATTGAAAGAAAGTTGAGGAACCCCGAAGAGCAACTCCAGTGCAAACACCCCTTTATGACACTGGGCTGTTAGATCCTTAAGGCCTTATCGACTCAGACAGAGTGCCCCTCCCAAGAGCACAGTATGTTGGGCTCCCAGTACCATTAGCGTACTCTGCAACTCGGAAATCCTCCATAATTTAGCAAAATTTAAAAGGAAATTGTTTGCAATCATATGAACCAAAATTGTTTTAATTTCATGAGGTATATCAAACCTATTCAAGTGGGTCCAGGGTATATCATCTTCAAGCTAGTACAAACTTTGTTCTTATACCTTGACCACATTAGTAACAATTCTTATATCATGGAATACAGCGATTTGATTGGATTGTACGCCAGAAAATCAGAACCCTTGATAGACTTTCTGTTGAGACCTCTGATTGGCTGTATTCACTAGGGTACAATCCAATCCAATCAAATTGCTTCATTTACAAATTTCCATGATACAAGAAAGGTGACTAATGCAGTCAAGGTATAAATATGAAGTTTGTAGGTTGACAATGTCAAGATAAAGGTATCTAGAAAGTAGATTTGAAAAATACCAGTTTATCTGAGATGTCTCTTACCTGTTGTTTTTTTTAGTTAATTAGAACAGACTGACTATCCACAAAAAAACATTAAGTCTTATAAGGGGATATTTTTAATTAGCCTTTTCAATTCCAAACACCACAAGTACACCCAGAGACAAATCAATGTTGCTACACTTCAATTTAGTATTTCCACCATTCAGTATGATTTTATGTATTTTTTAGATTTTCTAAATGCAGATTTCATCAAAACACCTGTTCTCTTCTCAATAAATAAACCAATCATTAACAATCAGAACAAAACACAACCCGAAATCCACAAAACAACATAACAGCAAATCATTGATAGCAGCAAATGAACTTTTCACACGAGGGAGAAACATATTTCTTTCAAAATCTGTCAAAATAACAAAATGATATACCAGAATAAATCTAAGGTTTTGAAAATCTTAGACATCATTTGGTTAAGTGTGTCTCAAGTTATCTTTTCCAAAGCTATTTAGAATACAATGGACACCTTTCAACCTCCATACACAGATTTTGAACAATAAGAATTCCTGGATTATTCATAAGCAACAGGAATTAATACAAAATATCCTTGATTTGATTCTTTGTGGCCTAAAGAAGTTGTTTACCATCTGAAAATATTTGACAGAATAGTCTTTGCTTTGCATTTGAAAAGATGTCACTGAATATTTTTAGCTTGGCATCTGGAAATACTGTACAGAGTTGTATAATAGATTGGCATCTGAAAATATTACACTGAATTTAGTTTTAGGTTTGCATTTGAAAATATTTAACCTATATTTTAGCTTTGCATCTGAAAATATTAAACCTCAATTTAAGCTTTGACATCTATAAATATTGTAGTGAAGTTTTTATTTAGATTGGCATCTGAAAATTTTACACTGGAGTTTTTAGCTTGGTATCTGAAAACATTGCACTTAATAGTTTTTGTACATAACACATATTCAACTGCACCAAATAGTTATAGCTTTTATGTGAAGATATTACAAGATGAGTTTACACTACATCAAGTGGTTACAGCTTTTTATCTGAAAATATTGCACCAAATAGTTATAGCTTTTTATCTGAAAATATTGCACCAACAGTTATAGCTTTTTATCTGAAGATATTGAGCCAAATAGTTATAGCTTTTTATCTGAAAATATTGCACCAAAACTTATAGCTTTTTATCTGAAGATATTAAACCAAATAGTTATAGCTTTTTATCTGAAAATATTGCACCAAATAGTTATAGCTTTTTATCTGAAGATATTGAACCAAATAGTTATAGCTTTTTATCTGAAAAGATTGCATCAAATAGTTATAGATTTGTATCTGAAAATATTGCACCAAATAGTTATAGCTTTGTATCTGAAGATATTGAACCAAATAGTTATAGCTTTTTATCTGAAAATATTGCATCAAATAGTTATAGATTTGTATCTGAAAATATTGCACCAACAGTTATAGCTTTTTATCTGAAGATATTGAACCAAATAGTTATAGCTTTTTATCTGAAAATATTGCACCAAAACTTATAAAATGCTATAAGTATCAAAGCTATAACTATTTGGTGCAATATTTTTAGTATCAAAGCTGTAACTATTTGGTGCAATATTTTTAGAATCAAAGCTATAACTATTTGGTGCAATATTTTCAGAAATTAAGCTATAACTATTTAGTGCAATATTTTTAGATACAAATCTATAACTACTTGGTGTTATATTATCTAAATGCAATGCTTTGGAAATATGGAGGTGTTTTGGTTTGCAGATTACAACCCCACAAACAGGATAATATTCCAGGAAAAATATATACATCAGTTCACATACTATGATATTGAAGTATCATAATTCTGTTGATTATTAAGACATAGCCTCTAGACATTTCTTCAAATACCAGGCCATTGTTACTGAATTTAGCCTACACAAACACAAAAATAACCTCTCTTTCAGCCTTGAATTGTTATTGACGTCAAAACTTAGCACAGAAAATCTTGCTCTCCATACTTATCATATTTAGAAAAATGTTCTTCAGAATAAGGTCAAATGGAACTTCAATTCTTCCTGAAATACAAGTTTTCTTTTTTTTATCATTCCTATAGCTTTTGGGGTTTTTGTAGGGCATTCTGCCTGAAAATCTAAAATTAGCTTTCTTAGCACTGTTTCCACCCATTCCAGTACTTTAAGTTGCTGACTCTTTGACCTGCAAAGATAAGCAGCAATACTTGGTCAGAAGCCTTTCATATTTAAACAGATAAATTTCAAAAATATGAAATGAAATCGAGTTTTACATCCTACTATGCTAGACAGGCAACCCCATGTAGTGTGCAATGAATAAAATTTTGTCATGGCAGATTTTTCATCCAAATAACTAGACTCTTCTTCCATGTGAGTCTATCCAACCTGAGTCACTGACACAGGGAAACTGGGTTGAAAAATATGAAGGTATTATCTTGATTTATGTGGGGCTTGAACCCTGGACCTTCACGATAGCAAGCAAGCTCCCAACTCAATGAGCCATTGCGACTCAAAAAATATCACAGACCATTATAATGCAATGGTATTGGGAAAAGTAATCTCATTCAACAATTTACTGGCTTACAAACAACAATAACAAGGAATGACTACATTCAAGTATATCTGTAGTCTTAAATCTAAAACAATACCAGACATGAACAATTCCAATTTAGAATGAAAATCATATATAATTGATAACTTAATGAGCTTTATTATAACAGTAAAAAACAAATAGGTCTTTAGGTCTATAGGTAAATGGGCTAAATATATCAAATATCATATTTTTAATCATCATAATCGTTATGTAATATGGTATTATCATATGCAAACTAATCACATTTTTCATTAGAAATCAAAACTTTATTGACCATGTCAGGAATTATCTTTGTAAACTTACACACATTGTTATCAAAAACAGGGATTTTAAAAAAAAAAAAAATTAATTTTGACACGAAATCATGTAATTATTCTAAATATTATAAGTATGATTTACATTTATTTTAAAAACTGATTATTTGATTTTTTCTTTTAT